GGCATGTATCTATTTAGTCATTAAGTTCCAGGTCCTTAAACACTCACAGGGACAGAACAATAAATCTTCTCTCTGAGAATGGCTTAAGAGGGAAAAGTTGAGGGTAAAGGAGAGGGTCACAGAACTGCTATTTATGAAGTACGGCTGCAGAGTCTGGGTCTTTCTGATTCTACAATATATATAATTATGTGTTTCACTGCAGGCGCTCTAACACTCAGTCCCTTTGCCAAGTCAGCTATTCACATACTTTTTGGATATGGCATCAATTAAACTTGAGTCGTGTTACTTATGACGACCAAATTAATGGGTTGACAGCGGCTTTCTCAATAAACGCTACAAACTGGCCATATTTGAAGGTTTAAAAACCATTTCTTTTCTGTTCAAAATTATGACAAACATGTCTCAAGTAAGACTGGGGACAACTTCATTATCCTCCCAACATTTAATGCCTTTTTTGTAAAGAAGGCTGTTTAATAACACATCTGCTCTGTTTTCACAACTAAATTATTCCAGTTGGTCACGCGTTCCAGTCTTCGGCAAGACACTTGTGTTATAAGAGATAAAAACATGAAAAAGGAAATATATTGCAGAAATCAAAAACCTTATCTACTTCTAGACTCTCTCTCTTTGCCATAATTCATTCAAGAAGGCCCCAAGAATAATTTTTTGATGTAAACTCAGCTACAAACATACATCACTATGCTGATAAAAATCACAGGCTAAACTTATGAAATATAGTGACTTTCATTTCTTTAGTGCTGTTAAAATAACTTTTTTTCTAAGGTTCAACAGACACAAAAGATAAAAAGGGTTACCATTAATCCTTAAAAAAAAAAGAAGAAGAAAAGGAAGAAATAAGCCCTACAGATTAATTCTTATGTTCTGATGATCATTTAGGACATCCTTTTCTTTGGACACCTTACAATGTACATTATACTAAACAACTCTTGATTTCTGATCCCTGGTCTCATTAAATTCAATTTCATGTCAACACACATTCTTTGAGGGCAACTCTGTACCAGGCACTGTGGCCCTGTTAGGTAGGGACTGAGGACACAAAAACCAGGCCCTGTGTAAAACAATGAGTTTAGTACTGAGACCTGGGTAGGGGTGTGGGCAGACATCCAACAGATAAATACAGGTTTACAGCAAAGAGAGGCTGACAGTGGAGTTGGATCTTGACAAATCAGTGGCTGGACACAGTGAGGTGAGATGTAAGAAAAGACAGAGGAACAGTGAGAGGGGAAGTTGTATTCCAGTGGGAATAGAAGAGGCACAGAATGCAAAGTGAGTACTTTACAGTGACCACTACTCACATTCAAGATGGAAAGTCAAGGGCCATGAGGCTGGCAGTGGTCAGCTGGCTGTCAATGTCAGTAAAGGCTGTGCTGAGGAATTGAAATTTATTCTGTAAACCTGTCATTTTCAAAATTTTCTTTTTTTGATAGGTAGCAAAATTTCTTTATCAGATGACTTATTTTAAAATTTATTTTTTGCTGTCGTTGAGCATATCACAGCAGAATACACATCAATTCATCAGTTTCTACATGTGGAGCTCATTGTCAGTGGTTATAGTCTTCAGCTGTGCAACCATTCTCACCCTCCTTTTGAGTTGTTCCTCCCATTAACATAATGTCACTGCCCCTAAAGTTCCTAATATTTTGAGTTGCTGTAGTCAAGCTGACCTCATATAGATTGTTCTTAAAAGAGTATAAGGCTCAGAGTAGACCTTTTTAAAAACTAGTTAAGTGTAGTGGTTACGAATCAGGCTGCGAACCGCAAGGTCAGCAGTTTGAAACTACCAGCTGTTCGCGATAGAAAGATGAGGCTCTCTGCTCCCGTAAAGATTTACATCCTCGGAAACCCTGTGCAGGGTCGCTATGGGTCGGAACCGACTCCACGGCACTTAACAACAACAACATTGTCTGATTTTAAGGTATTTCGGGGGATATTTTTGGTTTAAGGCTTAATATGTGATGGCTTTTAAAACACGTTGTTAAGTGCCGTTGAGTCAGTTCCGACTTATAGCAACCCTGTTTAGGATATCCAAGGAGCTGCTGAGGAGTTTGAACCATCTCTCTGTGGTTCAAACTAACTTTGCGGCCCAGTGCTTTATCCCACAGTGCCACACTAGGACTCCCTTTAAATATAAAATCCCCAAACAGAAAACAAAATAGTAGAGTTCCTTTGGTTGAAGGGGTCTTATGACCAAATCTGTTCTACACACAACACAATGGCCCCTGAAATCCTCTTGAGAATACTAAAGTTCTGAGGAACATGGTTTGCAAAGCACTGCCCATGGTGATAGGAAGTCAGAAATTGTTTTACTGGGGCAATAATTCTCTTTGTTCTGGAAAGCATAACCATTTCTAGATCTGTGGACTCAGAGTGAGAGAGGAGGAAACCTCTGTAAGACCCTTAAAGATCTGCATTAAAAAAAAAATGGAACCATTCTAAAGATCTGAAAATAAGACAAGAGATTCTCTGGTTTGTCAGCATGAAAATGGTGGGGCCCACATCTGCTGTTTGTTCCTGTATCACAGAGCCTGGGACTTGGTCTCAAATAGATGTATAACACAGTTGACCATTGAACAACACAAATTAGAACTGCATGGGTTCACATACCTGCAGATTTAAAAAAAAACAAACAAAAAAAACAACCCAACTCCATGTGACGCTAATCATCTCCACATAAGCAGTTTGTCTCTTCAGTAAATTGTGTATCGCAGTACACTGTGTTCTGTCATGGTTCTCAAGTAATTTCTGTGCTTAGTGAGATACTGTAAACCTTGAATAACATCACAGGACCCACATGAAGTATCAATAATGAGGCTGGAAGTGCTCTCATGAAGCATAAAGAAGTCGTGACATTACCAGAAAAGTTTAATTTGCTTGATATGAGGGACCTTTCAAAAACTTGGTGGAAAAATGTCATTGAAAGATAATGGAATTTTTCCACAAATTTTTAAAAGTCTCCTTGTATGCACTATATGCTGAGGTTTGTAGCTGTTGTTGTCTGCCATCTCAAAGTAAATGAGTCCAGTGTAAGGAGCACTGTATCAAAAAAAATTTGTGAAGAAGTTGTTGCAGCTAGGCCATCAGGTGTGAAAACCTTGCACTTTTTGTAAAATATCTTTTTATTTCATATTGAAAATTCAGCTTTCATGTGGGTAGAGTATATAAAACATAAAAACAAACTGTGTCTTAACTGACTGCTGATGTTAAGGCAAAGCTTCTGGTCCAATGTAAGATATTAGTAAGTTAAGTTTTGGGGGAGTCAAAAGTTACACATGAATTTTCTACTGTGAAAACTCCTCTAATGCTTGTGTTGTTTAAGGGTCAACTGTACTTCCTCCTTCTTGATAGACTGATCCCATGAGGCAATTGGGAGGTGAATGACTATGAATCTTTTCTTGGGCCTCTACTAGATGATCTTTCAGCACCTAAATCACAGCCCTCTTTGGCACAGTGTGAGTAAGAAAATCTGAATCTTGCTTCCAGTTCTTTCCCTGGCTTTCCACTTAGTTTCTCTTTCTATGCATGTGCAAGAGATTGTCTTTCATTTCTCAGAGACATGGGAAATTTACAGAATGTTTTTTTTTAAAGCATCCCGAGTTCTTGGAAGAAAGATGCCAATAGGCTGGAATGGAAGGGATTAGGAAGAAGATGTTTATCCAAAGGCAAAGGGAATCTAGCAGTCATGGGGCAAGGGATGCAGAGCAGCAGGCAATTTTCCACCAGCATCTGGCAGTCATCTTGTAGAGCCAGAGGCCTCACTGACATGACAGCAATGGTGGGAAGAGGTTGGGGATAGCGTTACTCCTCTTCTACCCTGCACCACTGATTTCTCCTTTCTTGCCAAGCTATAGGCTGAGCTGAAAGGAGAATAAATAGCCCAGCAGTGCTGAATTTGACAAAAAAATTAAATATCCACAATATGGTAAGTACCCATCTGTAAGCCTGTTTCAGGAGCTCAGAATTCCTTAGGTTCTTCAAAGACTTGAACTACATTACAAACACTTGCCGACCTTTACAAATCTTATTATTCCTTTTGAGGAAGTAATTCTTTATAACATTTATTCTCAAATTTAGTACACATTGTACATTGTAACATATGGGGACTAACAAGAATTAGAAACTCAGGTCCTACTCCAAATTACTAAATCAGAATAGAAGTTCCTGGGGTAGGCGGCTCTGGGTAACTCCATTTAAAATACGTTCTGCAGGTTATGCTGATACATACCAGACTTTGGAAACCACTATCTTATAACCTTCCCCAAACAATGGTTTTCCTCAATGGAGGAATTTCAGTGTGACCTATGTGCCCTTCCGAACCTCTGTTAGGACTATCATCCTAAAAATGATTAATCTAAATGTTAAATTCAATTACTTAACTGCAAAAATATAAAATGCCAAAATATACAACCAGACTGTACCCACTTGGATAATTTAAGCAGGGGAACACCAACCTGGCAGTGGCTCTTCTGTAGGACCCGGAAGGAGTTTAATTATGAGCTGGGAGGTCATGCAGCTGCTAATAATCTAGGGAGTGTTGACATTTCCGGCATGATGGATATCTAAATCTAATCTTCAGCTGCCACGAGAAATCCCTCAGCTTCTCTTGATTAGGTATGGAAGGAAGGCAAGCCCAGGTCTGACTAGTCAAGTCCTCCACATGGGAAGGGGAAGGCTGCAAAGAGTCAACTAAGGATCCAGCAGGAATCTGCCCCTTTACCCACAGTCCTCTGGGAAGGCCTGGTGAGGTCAGGAGCTGGGGCTGTGAGGTTCTCTGCTGATATTAAGACAGAGCAGGATGGAGGCTCGTGTCAGCCTCTGGCCATCACAATATAATTCCATTTGATTAAAAGAAATTTCTGATAATGAATTAAACAGACACAAGGAAAAAAGGACATGGTGGCAATATATTCTCTTGGCACCCAGTACACTGACGGGAAAGGGGGCGGGAGAGAACAGAGACATAAATAAAAGGGACTACTTACTGGGGCTTTTTTCTTCAGCAAGGTCACAGGCACAGAGCAGGTCAGAATCGATTGAGATAGGCTTCTGCTTAATCCAAAACTTAGTGCTGGCTTTCTGATTTGTAACAGGGTCTATCTCCACCTTGTCTCCAGAGATACCTGTAAGATCAAGGGAAGGACAAAAATGAAGTCATGAAAGTGGAAGGTGTGAATGCTTTCAGTATAATAGTTTGACCTACTTTACAAATTTTAAGTTGGGTGAACATGAGCGCTCTCTGAGAGCTTTGGAGAATGCTATAGATGTGTTAACACAGATATAAAGAGACTCCAAATGGCACAGAGACGTTGTACAGTCTGGTGTTCTCGGTGAGTGCGTTGGGGGAAACAACAAAAAAAATATACAAAGGTATTAAGAAACATGTCTCTCAGGTATAATATAGAGCTTACTTTCATATGGTAATTCATATGGTAATGGGGTAAATGATAAGATTTAAAATGCAATTTTCATCAGTATTTCTTGATTTTGTTTTTTTAAAAGAAGACCTGAGCTGAACAGATAAATCTGTAATATTGTTTGTGCCTAGCTACCAAGAATTTTTTGATCTGAAAAAAAAACACAAAACCTTACTAAGAATAGAAAAGTCTCTCTCTTCCCTTCTGACACTAAATAATTGCCCATGATATATTTGAAGGAAGTTGTAAGAGGATCAAGGGGTCCTTACAAACAACCTTCTAAGTTTTTATCTTGGAGGTCATTGGAGAGGGCTTCACAAGTTCACGAAAAAAATTTTTGAAGCCCCCTTGTATTTCTCTGCTGAGAGGGACACTTGGTTCAGGATGTGAGCTTCAGGCAACAAAGACTTTATAACAGGAATCAGAATGTTAAATACTAGTACTTTAGGTGATATTTTCAGAGCTGCAAAAGACAGAGCATACTGTGTAGTTATTGGGAGTACAGGTGTTAGGAGGAAAAGTTAACACCAGGGAAGGAAGCTGTCCTGGGGTAACTGGGAAAGGAGTGTATGTTCAGCCTGACACACACCAGTGAGGCCAAAGGCTTGCTCTTTCTCTCTCTTGCTGAAAATTGAGTATTCTGTTGATGAAATGAGACAAAAACCTCCAGTATGCTTTGTAGAGTGAGCCCCATATGGAACCTTAGAGATAATTACATTTTCAGGCCACAGTTTAAAGTAAAGGTCAGGGTCAAAGTGGTAAAAGCAAAATGAAGCAAGTATTTAAGAAATAATTAAAATAAGAAAATGTACATATTTTAACAGAAAAGAATCACAGCATACTTTATACAATGAGTGTTTTTAATAATATTCAGAAATATTTGAATAAAATGTGAGAAAATTAGTAAGTGTCCATGAAAGACACAGCTCAATTAAAACACAACCACCATAAGCCCCCCCCCCTTTTTTTTTATTAAAAAAGAATATAGCTGCAAAGAGAATCCTAATGATTAGGTCTGCGCTAAACACTATTAATTTGTATTTTTTTCCCAATAAATAAATTCAAAATTATTGTTAGACTAAGGCAGAAGACTATGTAAGACAGGATACAGTAGAGACTCCCCGGTTGTCTTTGGAGGAGCGAGTGGCATGATGGTTGCTTAACTGTAGTCATTACTGTGTGGTCTTGGATAAAGATGAACGAATGGCAGGTTTTTATTAATTGAATGCTGGAATTTATCACTAGGCTTATTTCAGGTACATCATATTTCAATTAGGCATAATGTCGTAAGTCCAATTGATTCTGGATGTGCAGGTCTAGATGATTTCAGGAGGGAAAGAATGATTTCAGGAGACCAATTTTATTACATTTCACTTAAAATAGATTATGACCACCCAGTACACTCTTCCCTCCAATTTGGTCATTAATTGTCAAAAGATCTGGGCATTTCTAGAATTCCCTGAAAGAAGAAAAGTACTTAAGCTATGGTTGTTGGTAGCTAATGTATGTTTGTTTTTTCCTTCCTTTTCTTTATTTTGACATTTATAAAAGTCAAAATGAGCAGAGCAAAAAAACAAAATGTGCGTATCTGAAAATTGCTCCACATCCCTTTCTTGGAAAGAGAAGCGGGGGGTGGGGGTGGGGGGTGGTTTGGAATCATCACCAGGGAGACACGGTTTTAAAATTTTGTTCTATAGCCCTGCAACTCCTGAAGCCGTAGTCAGTCAATATTGTTAATGTACCTTGTTAATTTGATAGGATTTGTCAGGTAACTCCACTGGAAAATTATATAAAACTGTTCCAGATGAAAAGATGATAGTGACATGAATTAAAGTGATAGAACAATAGTGGAATATAAACCAGAAATGACACCCAAAGTGGCTGTTGATTTATTGCCATACTGAGTTTGGTTCTGGGCTCCCATGTATATTAGTGCTACAAATCTGGGTCCATTTAGCAGAGGGATGCTCATACATACATCACCAGCTCCTGCTCCAAGCCAAGGTCACTCCCCATTGCATCAATCTTTTCAACAGAGCCTACTTCACAAAGCAGGACTTTTGTAACCATCTCAGATGTAACAGACTCTCATCCTCTTTCATCTTTCTTTTATCATGTAAAGTACACTTTAACTTCTATTATTTTTATCTGCAAATTGTTACTGTATAGTTCATCCATTATGGGCTATATCTCTGCATCAACTGCCTAAACTCTGCACAGGCACAAGAACACTTTCCCAATGACCCCCTTATTCTGCAGCCACTGTTCATAAAAGGGAACCCCCAAGTCTGGGACTAAGGGATGAAGATGTGGGAATGAATGCATTTGGTTCAAGATGGGAAGTGGAAAACAGGAAGCAGCAGGCAGGTGGAACACCATTTAAACAATAGGCATGTTCCAAAAAGTTGCAAATAATGTCAGATTTTTTCTGCATCAAATCACATTTTCCCACTGACTTCTAGTTCCAGAGATACTTTATCTTCATTCTGGATTGACTGGCAGGGGCTCCCAACACTTTAGTTTTAAGTTTCTCTGCCCTGCAGGCTTTCAGTCAAGCAGTTAATGATCTGTAAAACACTTGCTTGGCCTAGAGGAGTCACTATTTAAAGGAGCCTGGAGGGGAATCTTTCCAATGGGAAAAATCCTTTTGTACGTTAAATAATCTCACCCTACTTGCTATGTGTGTGCGTCTCAGTTACTTAAAGCAGGGCACATGGCTCCATGGGAAACTATTTGCTCCTGTTGGACAAACAGCAGCTCTCCACCTCCAGTTCAGGAGGCTTAAGGCAGTGTGCAGTCAAAGCCCATCTCTTGGGCACTCTCAGACCCCTTGGCTGAAGAGAGAAAGAGCCTGCAGTATCTAGCCTGGAAGCAGAGATCTCTCAGTCCCTGATCTGGGAATGCTAGTTTTCCTTCTTGGTTGGAAGGACACAGCCTGGGGGAGGGGAGACCAGTTAGAACACTGGAGTTCTAGGTCACGGGAAAGGATGGGAGGAGGTGGGGAGGATGTGTTAAACGCAGAAATTCTAGGGCTAGGCAAATGACAAGACATGAAGAATAAGAAAGAGGATCTTGGGGCATCACTGTGGCGATGACAGGAGAAGGGAAGGAAGGAGGAGACTGTGGAAGCCAGGTTGGTGGGGGATGTTAAGCAGTAGTGGTTGTAATCCACTTGTCACTGCTGTTTCTCTACTGCTAACAGCTAAGGGGAGTGACTAGTTAGGAGGCCAGAAACAACACCGGCTCCCTGATATGATGGAGTTCAGAGAAAAGAGGAATGTAGAATGTGTGTTCTTGTGGATCATTTCCCCAAGAACAAGGTCATCCAAAGGAGGTAATAAGAAGATGACACCCTAAGAGGCTTGCTCCTGCTCTTGCTTTAACAGGTTCAAGCACCAAGAATCATCTGTTACAACTTCTCCTTAAGCCCAACAGGTATGATGACAATTTTAATTACCATTTATTAAGCACCTATAGTATTAACCACTTTTATAAGAGAAGGCATATGATCAAGAGCCAGTGGTATTGCAGGATGAAGTCCAAAGTGCACTGAAGGCACTGGCAAAGAACAAGGGTCCGGGAATTGATGGAATACAAATAGAAATCTTTCAACAAACTGATGCAGCACTGGAGGCATTTACTCATCTATGCCAAGAAATCTGGAAATTACCTGGCCAACTGATTAGAAGAAATTCATATCTATGCCCATTCCAAAGAGAGGTGACCCAACGGGATGTGGATATCATTGGATAATATCAGTATCATTAACATCACATGCAAGTAAAATTTTGCTAAAGACAATTCAATAACAGTTGCAACAGTACATTGAAAGGGAACTGCCAAAGGTTCAAGTCGGATTCAGATGAGAATGTGGACCCAGGGATTTCATTGCTGATGTCAAATTGATCTTGGCTGAAAGCAGAGTATACCAGAAAGATGCTTGGCTGTGCTTTATTGACTACACAATTTTGTGGATCATGACAAGCTATAGATAACATTGCTGAGAATGCATATTCTAGGACACTAAACTGTGTTCATGAGGAACTTGTAAATAGATCAAGAGGCAGTTGTTCAAAAAGAACAAGGGGACACAGAATGGTTTAAAATTAGGAAAGGTGTGTACCAGGGTTTTATTATTTCATCATACTTACTTAATCTGTATACTAAACAAATAATTCGAGAAGCTGGAATATATGAAGAACATGGCATCAGGATGGGAAGAAGGCTCATTAACAACCTGCGATATATAGATGATATAACCTTGCTTGCTGGAAGTGACAAGGACTTAAAATACTTGCTGATGAAGATTAAAGACCACAGCTGTTGGTATGGATTGCACCTCAATGTAAAGAAAACAAAAATCCTCACCACTGAACCAATAAATAACATCAAGATAAATGGAGAAGAGATCTAAGTTGTCAAAGATTTCATTTTGCTCAGCTCAACTATCAACACTCATGGAAGCAGCAGTCAAGAAATCAAACGATGTATTGTATTAGGCAAATCTGCTTCACAAGATCTCATTAAAGTGTTCAAAAGCAAAGATGTCAGTTTGAGGACTAAGGCATACCTGACCCAAGCCATGGTATTTTCAATCACCTCAGATGCATGTGAAAGTTGGACAAAGAATAAGGAAGACCACAGAAGAATTGATGCATTTGAGTTATGGTGTTGGAGGAGAATATTAAAAGTACCATGGACTGCCA